CGCCGCAGGTGTCCTGGGTGCCCGGCGAGTCCGTCACGGCCTCCGAGGCTGCCTGGCGTCGCCTTTTGTTCGTAATCTGGCCGTGGAAGGGAGCCCGAGCCTGGCCTGGGAGCCTCTCACGGGGTGGGATGAACTCTGTGGTCTGAGCCGCTGTGTGACCGTGGCAGCTGGACGTCCAGAGATCCATCGGGCTCCTCGGGCGTCACACACCCCCTCCCGGCCGTTCTATGATGGCGATCATTCTTATTCTTTAGATTTTAAGACTTGCAAGACCTCAAGGAAGCTCACCCCGCCCCCCATTTTGAAGGCTGTGAGATCATGTTTGCTGAGTTGCATTGAGAACTTAAAATTCATTGTAAGTCACATGAAGCATTTATGTTTGATCTCACTGGCCCCTTAATGTGAGCAGGCAAAGCCCCCTAATAGTGGAGATTTAGGACCTGTGAACCCTGTGTCTATTCAAATCATCCCGGATTCCATTCCAAGGAACTTCGATTTTCAGTCTGGAATGTTCTTTCTACAGTCATCTTTACTCCCTGGTCTCGTGGACATCATCTTTAGTACTTTGGGAAATCGTTCCCTCCTGTGAACTCTCACATCCTCTGAAAAAAGCATTGGATTCTGTCAGTTTGGCTGGCATAACTTGAACTTGTTGAAATTAATCTTTGTTTCTGGAATAGAACCTGTTTTCCTCTTAAAACATGAAGATAGCTGGGCAGAGTGGTGCTGGCCTATAATCCCAAGAACTCTGGTACACTGAGGCAGGAGAAGTTTTAGCCTAGTCGGGGCAACTTTGCAAGATTCTGTCTTCATATAAAAAATTTAAAGGGATGGGAAGGTAGTTCAGTATGAGGGCCCTGGGTTCTCTAGTACCGTCCTCCCCCAAAAAAGGCCAAAATGTTTTTATGTTGATATGGTATTGCATGGTGTCATTTAATGTGTTAAACCAACCTGAATTACACTTTTGCGTCAAAGGATGAGTAAGTGTTCTGTGCGCTCTCCTACTCTGCTCCTGGGTGCTTTAATACAATAGAAAAACAAACAAACAAAATCTTTTGTGAATGAGGATCAAAGTCCCCATCCAGAGGGAGGTCTTTCAAGGATCAGTGAAAAAGAACAGAGTACGTGTTAATAACTGTCTCTAAGTTTTTGCTAAGCCAGCTCTGCCCCTCTCTTAAATGTGTATCATGCAACGAGGATAGAATATTCTAGTGTATCTTTGAAGCCACAGAAACAGAAAAGATGTTTTCAGGGGAACAAGTGTTGATGGAAGGAAATGGAAATTGGTTGGGCAAATGAAACATGTACTACATTCATTTTTTTCTCGAAAGTCCTAAACCTCTTAGTTAAGAAATAGGAACATGCGTTAATGATATTGGTGTACTTAGAAATATGGAACTATATGTTTGAAATATGTAATAGTAAGTAAATCTAAAGGTGAAAAAAATCTAAAGGAGGAAAAAAGAAAATTTTCTTTTGGAGAGAGATTTAAGATTTTTGCAAAAAAGTAGTCTTTTTGTCCCAGATGAGGTTTGATTTTTCTGGAGTATTTATTCATCTATGATTCTGAGGCATTCATTTTAACTTTAGTTTAAAAACAATGTATCATCACTACCATTCACAAAAGAACTCCTAATGTGTGAGAGATACCACAAATTTATAAAGATGAGTCACAGACCTGAGCTCCCCAGGGCATACTATCTAGAAGGAAGATATTACCATATAAAAACAGATTTGTTTGTGAGTGTGCATATTTACTGGAGTTGGAGTTGGACGTTGAACCAGGTCTCTGATGTTAAAGGATCTTGTTAGCCTCACTTAAATATGATTTCTAGAAATGAAAGGTATTTTTGCCCTACAGATAGTAAAGAGAACTTTCTAGAAAGGGAAAGGCATACACTTTGAGATACTGATATTTGCAGTGTCTGACTCATACCATGCTAATGTGCTACAAATGGCAAATAGCAGGAATGGAGCTATAGTTAAACAAGTTGGGTGTAGCATTATTCTCTACAGCTAGGAGAGCACACTGCTTGGGAAGCAGTGGGGTGTCTCAGTCACAGGATGCTAGAATGGATTATAGGATTTGGGGGTTGCTGATTGGGGCAGGGTTTTAGGGAAGTGGCTGTTCACTATAGATGCTGTCAGAAAGCAGGGCAATTCTGCTATTGGCTATTTGGTAATTTTTGGGGGGTGGTGGTACTGGGGATTGAATTTAGGGTCTTTGCACTGAGCTACAATGTGTATACCAAACCTTTTATTCTTTTTTTTTTTTTTTTTTTTTTTTTTTTTTTTTTTTT